AAAATCTATCCAAAATGTTATTTTTTTTATACTTTCCGGGTTTAAAATGTGTTGGCGTACGTTTCTTGTATCGATAATCGCCGCTTGACCAATGGAGTGGTTGAATTGAAGTCTCGAAATAAGACTTCAGGTCAAATGGAATCATTAGAAAGGCACCAATGGGTAGCTAGTTTGGGAAAACTAGCTGGAAATTAATTTAGATAACAAATATATCAATTTGTTTCGCATCTTATATATATAAACAAATCCACAAGGGCTGTGACAAGGATTCGAACCTACGTCCGAGAGCATCCCAGACGCTGCCTTAATCGACTGAGCTACGACAGGGTAAAAGAGAATTGCAACCAAAAGTTCTACTGAACTTGTTCATTTGATGCATCACGCTATTGTGATTTCTGTGTGTATTATATATATATATATATATATATATATATATATATATATATATATATATATATATATATATATATATAATAAATATGACCGAAAAAATAAGATTAATAATTCTAACATGAATTTTCTCTCTTTCTTATGTTTCTTTTCACAATCGATGGTAATTGAAAAATCAATTCTCCAAAATTCATTTTTATTTTTATTTATTTATTTTTTTATTAAATTCATTTTTATTTTTTATGTAAGAAATATTGAGAAAATTCGTGTTAAAATTATTAATCTTACTTTTCGCTCATATTTAATAATATATGTCTACAGAAAAGACTGCTACCAATATATATATATATATATATATATATATATATATATATATATATATATATATATATATATATATATATATCACTATTCAGTTGACTGCATATTTTCACTCATGATCTATGACATTGATTTGTGGAAACCATCACTATAATTATACAGTACATAATAAATGAATAGAGGAGATTCATTAGTTAACTTATTTAACTATATATATACACACAGTTTTAACATTTTAATTATATATAATAGTTATATATATATATATATAGCTATTAAAACGCTTATATTTGGTAAGACTATTTGATCCGGAATTTCAAACAACTTTAGCTAACAAATTTAATAGATCAAAACCATATTTAGTGCCTATTATGTAATCATTGAAGCTTCACAAACAAATATCCACGCAGAATTAAGATATTATAACACAACAGATAAAAGAAAATTATCTTAAAACAAATAATTAACTCTAACAAGAAAATTTTGTTGTCCTTTAGTAAAAATTTGAAAATCCTTCATAATAAATGCCATGAAGCAACACTCAATAATGCATTAAGCAGAAACTGGCTAATCCAAGTAAGCTGTGAGAGGATTATTTTCCTGTGCACAAATTTCAATAAAATAAAGGTCAATCTGGAAAATGTTTATGCTCAATAATTTGCTGGTACAACCATGATGATTGTACACACTCCTTTATGACAGGCGAATGTTATTATTATTGATACAGCTGATTATATTATTGTCTGCTTGGTCTGCTCCAGCTCTCCTGTTACTTAAAAAATGTGTGTTTTGTGTGGGTTTTGAGTGTTTTGAGTGCGTTTTGTGTGTTTTGTGTGTGTTTTGAGTGCGTTTTGTGTGGGTTTTGAGAGCGTTTTGCGTGTTGTGTGGGTTTTGAGTGGGTTTTGTGTGTGTGTGTGTGTGTGTGTGTGTGTGTGTGTGTGTGTGTGTGTGTGTGTGTGTGTGTGTGTGTGTGTGTGTGTGTATTCACCTAGTAGTTGTTCTTGCGGGGGTTGAGCTCTGCTCTTTCGGCCCGCCTCTCAACTGTCAATCGATCAACTGTAACTACTAATCATTTGTTCCACACATACACACACACACACACACACACACACACACACACCCAGGAAGCAGCTCCGTAGCAGCTGACTAACTCCCAGGTACCTACTTACTGCTAGGTAACAGGGGGCATCACGGTGAAAGAAACTTTGCCCATTTGTTTCTACCTGGTCCGGGAATTGAACCCGGGCCACAGAATTACGAGTCCTGCGCGCAGTCCGCTCAGCTACCAGACCCCTTATGTGTGTGTGTGTGTGTTTACTAGTTGTGTTTACTAGTTGTGTTTTTACGGGGGTTGAGCTTTGCTCTTTCGGCCCGCCTCTCAACTGTCAATCAACTGTTTACTAACTACTTTTTTTTTTTTCTCCACACCACACACACACACACACCCCAGGAAGCAGCCCGTGACAGCTGACTAACTCCCAGGTACCTATTTAATGCTAGGTAACCGGGGCATACAGGGTGAAAGAAACTTTGCCCATTTGTTTCTGCCTCGTGCGGGAATCGAACCCGCGCCACAGAATTACGAATCCTGCGCGCTATCCACCAGGCTACGAGGCCCCTAGATCAAAAGTGTGTGTGTGTGTGTGTGTGTGTGTGTGTGTGTGTGTGTGTGTGTGTGTGTGTGTGTGTGTGTGTGTGTGTGTGTGCTTAACTAGATGTGCTTGCCGGGTTGAGCTAGGCTCTTAGCCCCGCCTTCCGGACGTTTTTAGATTAATGCAATGACTCAATTCTCAGGCTTTTTATCTTTATTCAAAATTTTGAATCGAATTAGCTTCAATGATTTCTACGTCTGACCTGTTCCACTTATTGACAGCTCCGACACTGAACAAGTTCTTTCTGACGTCCCTGTGACTCATTTACTTCTCGAGTTTCTAATCTTTGAAGGTGGAAAGCTGTTCCTAGCTTTGAACAACGCTTCTGCGTCTCCCTTATCAATTTCCCCTTAGAATCTTATACGTTATCATATACCCCTACCATTCCTTCCCTCCGTCCCATCCCAAATCCTTATCCTGACCCCTTTCCTGTGCCATATAGTCGTAATGGCCTGGCGCTTTACACTAATAATTCCTTCCTTCCCCTCTCTCTCCTTTCCTCCAATGGTAAGGTCCACTTCTTCTACTATTTCCTCATGGCTTCTGCCCTTCAACTCAAGAACGAGTCTGGTTGTATATCACTTGGACTTTTTACTATTTTCTCCTTGCCAATTTTTAGGTAAGGGTTCCATGCATGGGGATGCATATTCAAGTGTGGGTCTCACCTTCATACTATGTTAGGTCCGGAAAGCCCTTTTATCTAGATTTTTAACGATACACGTATATTGACCAGAATGATACGCTGGTATGTTATTATATTGATATATAATATATATTGAATGATATTGATACGCTGCTGTTATTATTGTGTTAATGTGGGCTTCTAGCATCAAGTTTGGGGTTATGGCTTTATAATTAGGTGTAATATAATTACCACTCTTAGGTCTTTTCCCCCCTTTTCTGATTGAAGAATCTGTCTTCCCCTTCATCCTATACTGCTGCAATGCGCACTCCTGCTCCAATCCTTATAACCTTGCATTTGACTTGGTTAAACTCTAGCAACCATTTTTCAGACCACTTCTGTGTGCGCGCACGCGCATGTATATGTGATAAATGTGTGCGTGTGTATATACATTAATACACCTCATTCCTACATGGGTTTCAAAGCATCCTGAATCCAGCCAAATTCATTGACACTCCTGCAAGTGAAAGATTAATACTTCAAATATATTTGTCTCGGTAAATGTCCAAGAATATTAATTACTAACCGACTCGCTAATCTTCAGGAAAAACCAATCTCTTCCCCCCCCTTTATAATTAGGTGTAATATAATAATACACCGATGTGAGAAACTTCGACTTCCTCCCATCACAAAAACTGGGAAAATCATAACATTTACCTCGTCTTTAAACCTGGGCAAAGTGGTATGGTAATTGCTCTTGGGTGTTTCAACAAGAAAACCTTTCCCCTCAACACAGGTGTTTCTACCCTCAACACACACACACACATACACACATATACACACACACACACACACACACACACACACACACACACACACACACACACACACACACACACACACACACACACACAGTTTTCTTTTAGCGTGAGAGTAGTGGGAAAATGGAATGCACTTCAGGAACAGGTTGTGGAAGCAAATACTATTCATAATTTTAAAACCAGGTATGATAGGGAAATGGAACAGGAGTCATTGCTGTAAACAACCGAGGGTCGAAAGGCGGGATCCAAGAGTCAATGCTCGATCCTGCAGACACAACTAGGTGAGTACAACTAGGTGAGTACACACACACACACACACACACACACACACACACACACACACACACACACACACACACACACACACACACAGTTTTCTTTTAGCGTGAGAGTAGTGGGAAAATGGAATGCACTTCAGGAACAGGTTGTGGAAGCAAATACTATTCATAATTTTAAAACCAGGTATGATAGGGAAATGGAACAGGAGTCGTTGCTGTAAACAACCGAGGGTCGAAAGGCGGGATCCAAGAGTCAATGCTCGATCCTGCAGACACAACTAGGTGAGTACAACTAGGTGAGTACACACACACACACACACACACACACACACACACACACACACACACACACACACACACACACACACACAGTTTTCTTTTAGCGTGAGAGTAGTGGGAAAATGGAATGCACTTCAGGAACAGGTTGTGGAAGCAAATACTATTCATAATTTTAAAACCAGGTATGATAGGGAAATGGGACAGGAGTCATTGCTGTAAACAGAGGGTCGAAAGGCGGGATCCAAGAGTCAATGCTCGATCCTGCAGACACAACTAGGTGAGTACAACTAGGTGAGTACACACACACACACACACACACACACACACACACACACACACACACACACACACACACACACACACACACACACACACACACACACTCTCTTGAGCTGAATTTAATAATCAAGGCGTGAGACTTGGGCGGATAAATTCATATAATTTAACGTTTACCAACTTTAATACACGATCGTTTTTAACTCTGACATCGTGATTAGGAAAGCATTTTTGGTCCATGTTACATATATATTTATTCTCTAACATCAGATGTATTTTTATTTTTTTTTTATACAGTCTCGCATCCTAAATTTTATCCAACTTTCATTCTAGAATTTGAGGAGTTATAAAAACGAAAATACAGCAAATACAACAGGTTTATTTTAAGAAGTGACAACGCCTTCGAACTATACATTTATAATATATATATTTTGTTCAGACTGTTCAGTCTTTTAAAAATGTTAAATTTCAAATACATGACAAGGAAGACTATCCCTATTACAGTAGGTAAGTTAATTAGCACTTGGAAGGTATATGATTACAGTCATTTGGGGCTACCCGGTGTTTCGCGGGTCTCTTGCCCTCCCCCCTCCCTCTTTCACCCTCCCTTCCCCACCCCCTTTCCTCCCTCTATCCCTCCCTTGGCCCTCCTCCCCATTCCCTCCCATTTTTCCTGTTCTTCCATTCCATCTCCCTACTTCCCTGTTATTCTTCACATTTTTCAATTCTCCCTTTCTTTCTATATCATAGAATAGCAAGCATAAACCTTGTAAAGACAACTAGGACAGTACTTATTTCTTTGTTCTTAAGAACCACGAAGCGCAGCTTAAGTTCCCCCGCTGAAGAACGGATTTCTTGCAACTTCTGGTGAGTTTTCGTGAGTTTTCTGATATTTTCTACCCTTGATGATTTGAGACTCTCCCAAAGAGCACGGTATGAAGTTCCTACGGTTGTTGCCACGTAGGAACTCTATACCTCGCTAACCGGGGAGCCGTCTATGGGCAAAAAAATATGATTTTCATTTCTTGGTTGGTTCTCGCAGTCCTTATCCGGTGGGAGTTCTGTTCTTCACTCGGTGAGAGACGTAAGGAGACGATCTGGAAGATGCTGAAATGGTGGGCAATTAGATCACTCTTAATGGGACCCAATTAGGAATGCTCATCACGCTGAAATGGATAAAGAATGCGTAAATATTTTGAATTTTAAAAAAGTTATGATTTTTAAGATTCGTAAAGTAGATCCATAAGATTACAGGAAAGCAATGTATACAGTAGGATGGTTTGGTCAATATATATACACTAGGAAGTTTATCTCACTTCTCATTATATATACACTAATAGTTTACATAGATCCTGAACTGTGTTCAGGACTAAAGTATACTTTCCGGCCGGTTAATAAGCTATTGTGATAACCTTAGTATCCCTGCAGAGGTTGGTAAACCCATTAACAAACCATAAAATAACATTATATATTATTCCCCCAGCATTCGGGGAAGGGCATGAAAGACAGAGAAGTTATTCTTTTGAAGCTGTTTGAACTAGACTGATTTATACCTCGCTGTAATTGCAGATAGTCTGACTGCTGTTGAATAAAACGCTTGGAACAGTCCTTCTATAACCCAGTGTACAACTTCGTTACCCACAACAAATACTGAGCAGACTGAGATTACGTGCACACACTCGCGTAGCAGCCCGGCTTTGGAAAGACTGAGGTTGTTATAATATGAACTAATGACAGGAAGTATTTGTCGTATGAGCCGGAGTTTGAAGAGTTAGTTGGGGCGAGGGTGTGAGTGGCTCCAGCCCAGCTTTATAATTTATGAGAGCCGCTCAATGTAATGATTCCCACACTAAAGCTCATGTGTATACAATATATATATATATATATATATATATATATATATATATATATATATATATATATATATCCACACTGAATTGTAAATCAAACCTTCTGATGATGTAATATTAAGTACGAAAGTGCTTCAGGAAATTCCTATCTTCCTTCGTGGTCTGACATTGTCACATTATTCATCACGTGTTAATTTCTTCGTGATACACATACACACACACATGCTGGTGGCTAAGAAAGTAGAGCGGTGGCCTGCTGTTTATGTGGTCTGAGTTTCAATGCCTCGATGGTCCAAAGATAACGAAATGTTACCCAGTATATGTTGGTGAGCAATTTATATATATATACGCAAAATATATATATATATATACAATATAAATATATCAATACAAAAGTTTAAATTACCGAGAAAGCCAAGAATTTTAGGTTATTCTTCTTGTTAGGCAACAATTAATAGGTGTTAGGTACGATGTGTGTGTGTGTGCTACTTGCTTATTTGTGCCTACAGACTCGAGCTTTAGCTCTTGGATCCCACCTTTCCAGCCGACGGTTGCTCTAATACAATGACTGCTCATCGGTCCACGAGAATCCCTTCCTCTCTACTAATATATCGCGTTAGTAGGCTGGATTTTGTACGGAGTGGTGCATGCGTGCATCTGTTCATGTACGAACGTGCTATAGACTACTATAGTTAAACTTGCGTGTGTGTAGTGGGAAGAAAGTCCCAAAATATAGACATATACTTAAATACACGGTTGTATAAACATTGTATATATATTTATATATATATATAAACGCTGAAATGTCTTACGAATGCTAAACATATGTAAATGTAGTCTTGTTTTTTTTGTGCCTCGCCCGGAGACAGATTACAATTGCTGAGAGAGAGAGAGAGAGAGAGAGAGAGAGAGAGAGAGAGAGAGAGAGAGAGAGAGAGAGAGAGAGAGAGAGAGAGAGAGAGAGAGAAATGTCGCCATTTTCTAAACTTACGACTAAAAGAAAACGGGTGTTTTTTTCGGGGAAGCAAGGAGTGGGGGGGGGGGTGTCTGATGGAAGAGAGAGAGGGGGGGGGGGGTCTTTGTGGAATAGGGGGGAGGAGAGAGTTAGGGGTTTAGGAGAGAGAAAAAAAAAAAACATTTTTATGAACACAAAATAAATCCATTTGCCTTACATTTTTTAAAGGTAAGCGTTCTTGCCCTCCCCAATGGTTCGGTCGCCTCCCCCAGCGTATAGGAAAGGCGGAAAGCACCGTATAAGCAATACAAAACAGGAGACCGGAAAGGGAACTTTATACGTAATTCTTGTATCTTCATTTTGCCGTGTAATGGGATGTGAAAACAGGCAAGACTACGCCAGTGGATGGGAAGGTCTCACAGGAAAGGGGTGATAGGGAGGGGCTGATATGGAAGGGGTGAGAGAGAAAGAGGGGGGGATAAAAGAGGAGTAGATATAGAGGGGGAGATAAAAGAGGAGTAGATATAGAGGGGGGGATAAAAGAGGAGTAGATATAGAAGGGGGTGATAAACAGGGAGATAACAGAGAGTGATAATATAGAGGGGATGACGAGATAAAGGGAATAAGAATAGTAGGATGAATTAGTAATGGGAAGGAGGCGTGAGGCTGGATGAGATAATAATGGATAGAAGAGATAAGGGATAGGCGTTAATGGGAGGGGTGGGATAAGGGGGGAAGAGGGAATATAGGGGGGTCAGACTCCCTTGGGAAGATATATTCTTTAAAGCCTCATGAACAAATAATAGACGGCCACAGGCGGAATAATGTGTGGAACCAGGGAAGATAAGGGGTGAGAAGGGGAAGATAAGGGGAAAAGGGGATGGCTACAGCAATGGTGGGGTTAGGGGAAAGGGGATAGGAACCATCAGGAGAGGTTGGGGGAGTGTGATTAGAGCTCCAGGATAGGTACTAGGGGTGAGAGGATGGGAAGTACCAGCCAATAGGGGTGAGTAGACACTAGTATATATTTCATTGATTGATGAAGATTAAGCCACCCAAAAGGTGGCACGGGCATGAATAGCCCGTAAGTGGTGGCCCTTTTGAGCCATTACCAGTATCAAGAGGTGATACTGGAGATCTGTGGAGGTGCGACTGCACCCTGCGTGACGGGAGATGTCTCCCGTGATATATTTCACAAATAACATTTAATATATAGCGATAAGTTGGGTCAGATAAGGTTCTTAGGGGCTATTCATGCCCGTGCCACCTCTTGGGTGGCTTAATCTTTATCAATCTAGATAATGTTAGGTTAGGCTGGATTGGGTTGAGCACCGGGTTGGTAGAATTATAGGTAGGATTACGCTGGGTTGGGTTAAGATAATTGGGATGGATTTATTAGACTAATTAGGTTAGGTTAGGTTAGGTTAGGTTAGGCCAATTAACAGTTTCTAGTGCTATTCACAAACAGGAATCAGACCTCTCCTAAGAGTAGAGTTGCTAGATTCTTTGAAGCTGTCAGGTTAAACTACCCAGGAAACGTTATTTCATGGTCAAACGTTTCACTGTCTTACGCTAAACGTTATGCTATCTTATGCTGAACGTTATGCTGAACACACAGATATCGTACGATAATCGTTACACTAATTTACATTAAACAATGCATTAAACGTAATCTTACACTAAACGCTATGCTATCTTAGGCGAAACGTTATGTCTTGTTACCCTAAAAGCTGCATAATCTTACAGCAAACGTTACACTATTTTACACCAAATATTATGCTATCTTACTCTAAGCACCACGCTATCTTACGCTAAAGATAACTCAATTTTTTCCGCAAAACGTTACAAAGTCTTACTCTAAACGTCACACAAATGGGCAGAGTTTCTTTCACCCTATGCCCCTGTTACCTAGCAGTAAAATAGGTACCTGGGTGTTAGTCAGCTGTCACGGGCTGCTTCCTGGGGGTGGAGGCCTGGTTGAAGACCGGGCCGCGGGGACACTAAAGCCCCGAAATCATCTCAAGATAACCTCAAGATAAGAGATCTTACGTTTAGCGTTACCCTATCCAATGTCACAGTAATATTTAGTAAATTTCATAGAAGATAAAGTAATTTTAATACAAAATACAATTTTATAGACTCACTTCCAATCATAAATAGACACATGCAAGTGAACAGGAAATTGACCTCTCATAAAAATAATTTATATACTTGATAAATATACATAAAAAAAGTCTAAAATATGGTATTGATTTAGATTGGGAGAATAAATTTGGCTGATTTGCTTGTATGGACGTTCGAATTTTTTTTTGTGATTGGGGAAAGTGATGGTGAAGGGGAAAGTGATGGTGAGGGGGAAAGTGACACAGGTGACAGTGAAGGTGAAACAGGCAGGGAATTTACCCCCACACATGCGAGTCGATGATGAAATTTAATGGTGTGTTACCAAGAGGAAGATGGCGAGAGTGAGGAAGATGGTGAGAGTGAAATGGACTTAGAAGAGAAAAATTAAAAACGTGATTGAAATATGCAATTGAAATACAATTGAAAGGAATGATATGAGTGTTGTGTGGGTGACTCACGTCTTCTTGGTTAATAAGTCTCGTTTTTTTCTTTTTACGTTATATATCTCCGTTTTCCATGCATCGGACTCAATAGGTTATCGTCGGGTTATCATCGTCAAAGTAATTTTTGTTTATACTTTACATATATATTTTTTTTTAATTTTAAACTTTAAACACAATAAAACTTTTACACCAAGAAATCCGTAAAATTCGATTAATTAAAAACAAAATATTGTGTTGAATAAATATATTAAAAAGAGTTATCAGTCAACTTTTTTGTCAACAATAGTCAACTATTTTGGTCAAATTAAACAAGCCGATGATGGTTTAATAATTGATAATAAATGTGCACATAGCTTATGAGTTTCTTCTGATACTTAAGAATTTTTTTCACTTAATAAATTGAGAAGCATTATATGCATTTCCCCTAATTTCCAGGTAAACATATATTTTTTTTTTTAAAGAGGGGTAAGGGGGGGGGATAGGGGAGGAATATCGACTAAGCAAAAATAAAAGTTAGCCAGAATGAGGGTCTTCATTACCAACAGCTACAGGCAACTAGCCCATCCTTCACTAATTACTGTACTGCAGCCAGCTATAATTACAACGCTCGTACAGTTACGGTCAATGGTAACGCAGTGGTAAACACACACACACACACACACTTACTCTCGTCCCGGCCAGTAGTGATTGTGGTCAGGGTTCGAGTCCTGGGGCCAGATTCACGAAAGCACTTACGAACCTGTACATCTTTTCTCAATCTTTGGCGGCTTTGTTTACAATTATTAAACAATTAATGAGCTCCGAAGCACCAGGAGGCTGTTTATAACAATAACAACAGTTGATTGGGAAGTTTTCATGCTTGTAAACTGTTTAATAAATGTAACCAAAGCCGTCAAAGATTAAGGAGAGATGTACACGTTCGTAAGTACTTGCGTAAGTACTTTCGTGAATCTGGCCCCTGGCCCCCAGAGAGGATTGACTAGACGTCAAAATATCCTTAACTGTTCCCCCCAGCAGTGATTGCGTATATACCTGGTTGTAAATCGACTCCCGGGTCGTGTTCCAGGGCAAGACTAGTTGGCAAGGCTTCTTTTCACGTGCATAATTGGGAAGAGAATTCAGAAGTCGTCTACACCTGTGCCCACATGTGCAAAAATAAGGATTATTGTATAAAACAAAAGTTCCTGTTTGGCACTGTTGGAATACTCTAATTGGCTGACCAGAAAGTCGAACAATAACAATAAACCTAACCAGTCTTAGGCCTATATAAGCAATCCTGAAATTAATTGACGTCACCTTAGGCCTACTTTATATGTGCTATATTAACCATAGAAACGTTTGGTTTTTCTTAGTACAAAAACTGAACACAGTTACTGTTCTCCTGAACACAGGTACTGTTCTCCTGAACAAACACTGACAAACACTGACCATCACATGTAAACAAAGACACCATCAATTATACTGTCTACCATAATTCACGCCTAATTGCGTGACTGTCTCGCTTCATGCAGGTCGACGTTCAATCCCCGACCGTCCATGTGATTGGGCACCATTCCTTCCCCCCTCCATCCTATCCTAAATCCTAATCCCCCACATCCCTTCCAAATGCTATGTAGTCGTAATGGTTTAGAGTGCTTGCCCTCTCATAACTACCCATTCTGGAGGATGGGCTGAAATATTCGCTCCAAGACGGGTTATACTTGCTCTGTATACTCCTGTGGTTGATGGTGGTATACCCACGAAGCCGTTCATATGGAAAGGGGGACTATTTAGGTGCTGTAAACTCCAGGTTTATGATCTGGAGTTTACGCATCACGACTTGACCATCACCTGTCTGTAGAGATATACTCTGTGGCTGGTATATCATCCTTTCATTATACCCGTAAAGGCTGCTATTTGTTAATGCCCGAAACGTTCTATGTATTATTATCTTTAATTTCTGGGCTTCTCTTGCCCTTCGAGTCCACCCAGACCGTTCATTTTATCATTCATAAATTTTAAATTAAAATTTTGCCCTGAGGGGCGAGTTTATTGGACAGTGCCATTTCGTATGTATTTTTGTATCAATAACATATTAATATTATTACCTATCACCTCGCCGCTATCCCCAAGAGAGTAAATAGGGAAAAAAGGAGTAAAAGGGAAGGAATAAAGTCAAGGAAGTAAAGATGGTGATAATCTTGACCACTACAACAAAAAAAATAAAAAAAAATAAAGATCGTGAGCTAGCAACACTCCCTAATAATGAATACCTGACAAGTCACGACCCGAGATAGTGCTACGCCCCTCTCGCCAACAAGGTCGAAGCCCAAGTGTACAAGTAACGAGATACAAGACCGTATAGTGGGGTAGCAGTAGTTACCAGAGTGATTGGAAGGTTGCCGGTGTTCGGACACAGCTGCCACCTCCCACACGACCTGAAAATGGCATCATTCTGTTAGTCAAGATTAATGGAAATGATCTCCTGAAAGATAAAATAATTCATTTGTAATTATTATTAACTCTTGCAATAATTTCGTCTGAAATATCCATTAACTACCATTACTTTAAATCTTGAAATACGTGTGAATAACAAGCACGCACGCACACACACACACACACACACACACACACACACACACACACACACACACACACACACACACACACACACACACACACACACACACACACACTATTCTGACCAGCTAGCGTCTTAAATATCTTTATTAAGTTATTATGTAAACTGTAAACAAATATATTTCTACGACCAGGAAGAAAACTTATATTAACCAAAAATTCTCTCACGCATCCCACTCTGATAGAGAGCAAGTAGCAACACCCACTCCGAACACTAACACTCGCATATCCGAACACCGTCATACATCCGAACCCTGCCACTACCCCTCGTACATATTTTTCATATAGTTGAGAAATGTAGTGTTACAAATGTTATGGGAAACATTGCTTTAAATTGCATTTCTTCATTAGGCAATCAAATTGTCAATATGTATAGAGATAATGTAATAATTTGTAAGTTCTAGTGAGAGAGACTAGCCTCGTAGCCTGGTGGATAGCGCGCAGGACTCGTAATTCTGTGGCGCGGGTTCGATTCCCGCACGAGGCAGAAACAAATGGGCAAAGTTTCTTTCACCCTGAATGCCCCTGTTACCTAGCAGTAAATAGGTACCTGGGAGTTAGTCAGCTGTCACGGGCTGCTTCCTGGGGGTGGAGGCCTGGTCGAGGACCGGGCCGCGGGGACACTAAAGCCCCGAAATCATCTCAAGATAACCTCAAGATAACGACCTTCAGGTTGTAGCCAGAAGCCACAACCTAATTATGGCATGTTTACCATTGCTTCTAACAGAAATTATGGCATGTTTACCATTGCTTCTAACAGAAATTATGGCATGTTTACCATTGCTTCTAACAGAAATTATGGCATGTTTACCATTGCTTCTAACAGAAAAGCGAAGGCAGATATGCACAACGAATGACGTGGAGCGGGGAATTGATGCAACACGAAAATGCTATCAAATGAGGGCCATCACCTGTAGAGGCTACCACTAACAGAGCACACACCTGTAGAGACTACCACTAACAGAGCACACACCTGTAGAGACTACCACTAACAGAGCACACACCTGTAGAGACTCCCACTAACAGAGCACACACCTGTAGAGACTACCACTAACAGAGCACACACCTGTAGAGGCTACCACTAACAGAGCACACACCTGTAGAGACTACCACTAACAGAGCACACACCTGTAGAGACTACCACTAACAGAGCACACACCTGTAGAAGCCACCATCAACAAAAGGCACCATAACAACGACAACAGCAAAAAAATGATCAACACAGGTCACCATCACAAACCACCACCATCACAAACAACCACCAACACAAACCACCACCATCACAAATAACCACCAGCACAAACTACCACCAGCACAAACAACCACCAGCACAAACCACCACCAGCACAAACCACCAGCACAAACCACCACCAGCACAAACCACCACCAGCACAAACCACCACCAGCACAAACAACCACCAGCACAAACCACCACCATCACAAACCACCACCATCACAAACCACCACCATCACAAACAACCACCAACACAAACCACCACCATCACAAACCACCACCAGCACAAACCACCACCAGCACAAACCACCACCAGCACAAACCACCACCAGCACAAACCACCACCAGCACAAACCACCACCAGCACAAACCACCACCAGCACAAACCACCACCATCACAAACCACCAACCACAAACAACCACCACACAAACCACCACCTACCAAACCACCACCACAAACCACCACCATCACAAACCACCACCAGCACAAACCACCACCATCACAAACCACCACCACCACAAACAACCACCACCACAAACCACTACCAACACAAACCACCACCAACACAAACCACTACCATCACAAACCACCACCATCACAAACCACCACCACCACAAACCACCACCAACCGAACAACTTCTGCCCTTCTGCAGCAAGCACAATTTTTGATGTAAAGTTTTAACCATTTCTGGATTATGCAAACTGTATATTTATGCAAATCCGTCTCAGATTCCCTCTGCTAGACGCGATTTTGTATCTTTTCCACAATCCAGTAATGGAGAAAGACGCGTAAACTTGCGTGTCCCCATTCACGACCTTAACATTTTTGTATCATAATAGATTAGCATGGCCCGAGGAAGAACAGGAGCAGGTCCTCACCAGCTCATGATATAACTCAACCAAGAACAAAGAAAAGATAGCCATAAGGGTTATAGACTTAGAGGAAATGAACAGACTAGTGATGACTAAGTTAAGAATTGGTATTGCATGTATATATATATATATATATATATATATATATATATATATATATATATATATATATATATATATATATATATATATATATATATATATATATCTATAATTTCCCTCTGGCACACGATCCACCTGTTGATTTACCACCAGGGGGGCCCCGAGTACTGCCGGGTAAACAAGGCCCAAAATCGTTAAGAATTGGTACCCGAACAATTAAGGAAGAATCAGTGTCCAATGAGAAGACAGCCAATGAGGAGGAAATAGAAAAGAAATTACAAATATGACTGTAAAGGGACCAATTAAAACACAACATTCTAACCAAGGGCTGTCCCTAGAGTGGCCAATGACCTAACAGTACCCAACACTCCCCCCCGGGGTGTACTAGCGATGCTGGACACAACAGTTGGCAAAGCCAGAATAACAGATTCAGAGAACAAGGAAGTGCAACAAGGAGAGGGGGAAGCAGAATATATTGCAGAGATACACAGCCAGACAAGGGAATACACATAACTGGAGCAAAGAATGAATGGAATATTTTAAACCAAAAGGTGAGAAACGAGGAAAGAGAGAGAGAGAGAGAGAGAGAGACTTTAATATATTTTAGAGGTGTTTGGGCTTGCTAGTAATATGAATCATTGCTACAATGTGAATCTTTGGTTGAATGAACAATACTGCTTCACTTGCCTCTATATATATAATATATATATATATATATATATATATATATATATATATATATATATATATATATATATATATATATATGAAAGAAAGAGTGAGTTAAATGGCAAGTTTTTCTCTGAATGCTCTGTGTTCTCTTCTTTGAGGCTGTGGGTCCCTATAATTGCACCAGAGTTCCAGGTGGTCAATTGCACTAGAACCTGGTGATCTACAAGTCCAGTATCACATGATGATATCATCATCATCAGCATGTAGAACAGGCCACGAGACGAGACCTGTTCGCGTTTCACCACGAGGTAAGGCTGAGAGGGGAATCAGACTTCGCCATTTGAATTGAAACAGAAGGAACATGATACGGACAGCGGATTCTCATGGGGGTTTAATAGAGCTAACAAGCAGATTATGTTCCAAGTAACGCGTTATAAGCAGATGGGAATGCATTAGAGATAGTGAAAAAAGATAATAGCGTTTATAAATGCAAAGTAGATACGATCAATAAAAAGGGGTTATGGTTCATCGTATTCCGACAAGAGATAGCAAGTAAGGCTGGGTACCAGGAGCAAGCGCTTTACCCTGCAAGCACAACTATGGGAGTACATTCAAGGTGAGTACTTACACATAATCACAGCAGAGGAAAAAAAACAAAAAAGGCATGAATGTAAACTAGATACTTACATAAACCATAGGGAAACCGGTTTGAGCGCAAAAAAAAAGACTTGCATGAGTCACAGGCAAGAAGTGGATGAGTTCAAACCAAACTCACATGAGCCAGAAAGAAGCACTTCTTCACTGTATGAGTAGTGAGTAAGTAGACCAAGCAAGAAGGGAAGGCAGATGATATCAACTCATCACATTACTCATTGGACTCGTAGACTAGGACGCGACCTGGCATTAATCATTTTTGTTGATACTCTTATTTTCACCTCTTGCTGCTCTTTCCAGGCGAGTATATAGCAGTCATTAGAGGTAAGAAAAACTCTTACGGGCTATTCATGCCCGTGCCACCTCTCAGGTGGCTTAATCTCTATCAATCAATCTAAAAAACCCACATGCCAAATTGGCTAATTGAAAACCGACACCTAGGAGTTATAAACCTTGCCCTGAAGACTCCTAAAAATGAGTGGGCAACCCTCCATCCCCCCTTGCAACATGCACAGAGCCAGGAGCAGCATGGGTGCAGGAGGAGGAGAGGAATGTGTAAGGAGGCTGCAAGCGTCTTAAGGAAGCTCCCTGGCAGGAGTGTGGTAGTGGGGAACCTGCAACAGTGTATCCCCCCCCCCCCCCCCCCCACCCCCACCTTCCTCTGACGTTCATGAAGACATGCTGCCTCACTTTTATAAAGGGGAAGGGGGGGTGAGGGAGGGAGGGGAGGGATGCGAGATGGTGCTGGGAAGGGAGGTCAGGAAGGGGAACGGAATGGGGAGGGGGTGGAGGCGATGGTTGACACAGCTGGGTGAAGGTTGCATGGGGGGAGAGTTGCATGGGGGGAAGAGTTGCATGGGGGAGGGTTGCTTTGGGAGGATTGCATGGGCAAGGTTAGATGCAGGGCATTAGAGTGAGGAAGATATGACAGGCATGGGGAAGAATGGGGTGAGAAGTGAATGGCAGCGTCTGACAGATGTTTGCAGAGCCTGACAGATGTTTGCAGAGCCTGACAGATGTTTGCAGCATCTGACAGATGTTTGCAGCATCTGACAGATGTTTGCAGCATCTTAAGAGATACCAGATACGCCTTACTGCCTCTCTGTTACTCGCCTAATTGTACTCACTTAATTGTGCCTATAGGGCAAGGCGTCAGTCTCCCTGTCTTCAAGATTCCTGTTATAGCTACTTTTAAACCTCTGGGCAATGAACAAATCCACAAGGGTCGTGATGAGGGCTCGAACTTACGTCCGGGATGATCTTACGCTCTGGGCAATGTTTCGTCTATATCAGTACAGACCATTCCAAGACTAATTAAATATAATATTTTCTTACAACATTACAGATCTTCTGAGTCTCAAATACCCATCCACAAAAGATCGTTCTGTGTGTGTGTTTTTTAGCATAAACATTTCGTACTTCTTTGTTATTGTCGATAAGAATCTTGTACGGCGCGATCATATCTTCT